TCACAACACAAAATGTTCCCAGGTGAATAGTAAACAAAGGCCAGCCTAGTTACCCACAGCATTGCTTCCAGAAAGTGGGAAGGTCTGTGCCCTCTGATATATAGCAATATACCAGGCGTTTGGGTTGGGGGGGGGTCAGAGATGGGCTCTGCTGCTGTTGATGCACTTTTCTATGAATGGGGTGGTTGTTTGGTCCTTGGGCACCAGGGATTGTATGCCCTGGTGTTTGTATTTTAATGTTTGTACACCAGCCTTGGTACACACCTTGATTCTCTTTCTGTGCCAAAATCTATGTCAGCCGGCATGTGTATTGAATGGTATTAAAGAGCCTTTAGGTTGGGCAATAAGAAGTACAACTATTATTGGCAAATAATTTTAATTTATCCTCTTGAATGGCTAGTTTGACTCCTGAGGTTTTTTTCTTTTTATATTTTTGAGTTGCCAAAGTTTTTAATGCCAGTAAAAAAGAAAGAAGGAGTGTGTCTGCCCCAGCCAAGAACAACAGGGAAACAATCCAGCCAAGTTTCCTTCTTTGATTGCTTGCGCCATATAGGCAGAATTTTGCCAGAGTAAATCTGTACTATGCTAATCTAATGGTCATACCCTGGGAGATTCTAGGGAGTGACTATCCTAAGTCGCTTCCTCTCCCATGCTCCTGCTCTGGACTGTGTTGCCTCTTGTCTCCCCCCTTCCCTTCCGGAATGTGCCCCCTCCTTCCTGAGAACATGGCTCTCTGCTACATGCCATCACACCAGCTCCCGCTTCATAGATACATTCCCTACAGAGAGAGGGGACAATCTGATTTTCTCCCATTCAGGAGAGTACATCACAGAGCGATGAAACCATTTGGGTCTCACCATGTGGTAGAAAAGTTGGGTGTGTCGGGATACAAAACTATCTTAGTCTGACAAGTCCGAAATAGGATGAAACCAGTCCGCCTGCCTCTGGTGGTCAATGTAACTGAAAATACTACACACAATATGCACTATGTAAAAATAGAGAAATCCCTCCCCCCCCCGGCTTGGAGTAGAAGTCATGTAAGACCATACAGGGGGTGGGCATTATGCACCATCTGTATCTCTCTGCCCTGAGAACTTGAGGGAGGTGGAGGAACAAAACAAAACACAGCCCTTACTTACCAGATGTAAGTGGATCTTTTAAAGCCTATAGTATTGTGTCTTGCCAGAATGACAGAGAATCTGCAGTGTGCTCTCCACAGTTCAGTTTCCAGATCCTCGTCTATATAGCGGGTGTTTCAAGGGGAAAAAAAAAAGCTTTTGGGATGAGCCAATTAATTGTGGCACAAGCTTTCATCAGCTAGTCTCTTCAAGGTTACATCATGATTT